TATCAGACACACTCTTACATAAGGCCCCTTCATAGAGTAAGATGGAGAGGTTTCTACCTGGCTGTATAACACCAAATTCACTGTTTCAGTGCATTTTGAATCCCTTTATTTTTGCCTTACTCTTTTATTAAAAGATACAACTTTGTCTCCTATACCTTCTTGGCTTGGATAGAAATTTTGAACTCATCATTTTATAAATTCTGTAAAATCCCTTTGTATAGATGGATACTTATGGATATTTTCAAGTAGCCAAAAAAGGGCCTCTTTTGCTAGTATTTGTGTTTAGGAATAGTGAACACTGAATGTATTTTTTTTTCTTATTGGAATTCCCAAAGAGCAAATATAACTGGAGGATCAGGTCCCAAAATGGAACTCCTGAGTAACAAAGTTAAATACTTAGGTAATTTTAATGACATCTAACAAATTGTGGTCCCACTTTCTAATACTGGAATATGTATAGTAACAGTCTACTCTAAAAAATACTAGAATTATATCTTTTTTTTGTGGTACTGGAGTTTTTATTCAGGACTTGTGTCTTACCGTTGATCCATGCTTCCAGCTATTTTTTTGCTATAATAAAATTTCAGATATATTCTCATGTTTTTGCCCAGGAGGCCAATCTTTCTACCATTGACTCACCCTATATGGCTGGGATTATATACTTGCCATTGCATGCAACTTATTAGGTGAAGTAGGATTTTCCTCTAATGTATTTGCCTATGCTGGCCTCAGATTAAATGCCTTTCTTAAGTGCACCAGAATGGAGACTGAGATTTCTGTGTCAGCTCCAGGCTGCAGATGGGTCATCAGGATTGTTGTTTGAGAATAAACTCTTCTATGTTGAAGCTACTTTGACATGGTTTTCTTTTGTATAGCAAAATTTACTTATTAGAAGACAAATAAACAGGCATTCTCTCAATGTCTTTCTTTGCCAGGGAGCATGCCAACATTCAGCCAGGTGTCCTTCTCTGTGGGTCAATACAATGGGATCAGAATCAAATACCAAGCAGCAGAAAGTGTTGATTATGTTATATCTTGGAGTTGCTCTCTAAGAAGGAGCTTAAAAGTAGTGAAATAAAACAATCTGACCAATGTAATTAGTGAAGTTAACTTACATGTGTGATTATAATGTTATATGTGAATAAATACATATTTGAGTTGTTTACAGTTTGGGCCTATTACAAAATTGCTACTCTGAGTATTTGTGTTGAAAAAAATAGTATTACATGTAAGTGCAGGGAGATTTTAAGGATGAGACAGAATATTTTTGGTTTTTATTTAAGACTAGGACTTGAATTCTTTATCTGATGCTTTTGCTCATTGGCTGGTGTGATACCACGTAAGACATAACTACAACTCCCAGAATACTTACAGAATAAATACAATAAATGAGAAGCCTAGCAAGATAGCAGGAAAACAAAAGATAACCACTAGAAGCTATAATTTACCAACAATTCAGTAAAATTTTTGGATGTTAGTTCTGAAGTCATGATATGGATTGAAATGGAAGCTGAAGAGAAATGAATTTCACTTAAAAACTCGAGCATCCCTTCTTTCTATACCATATAAGAAAGCAAAGTGGGAATCTTATGCCATGTCTAATGATACTGGGGCTTTTTGATGACACTAGGTCCTGAATGCAGTGACAAAAGACACTTAAGCATTTCATAAGTGTTGACTTCTTTATATGGTCCCCTTCATTTTTCGGGCCCTTAGTATCTAACTTTAGACATAGGTACAAGGGTAAAGACATTATTATGTCTTATAGATCCCCTAATCAACTCCCTTACTTATTCAAGGAGAGATTAATATTTACACTACTGAGGAAAATTTATACAGAACTTGTAAGGAAATCAAGGAAATGTTAGGTCTACTCACCTTGGTAGCTGTGAGGCAAACAGGTCTGGGTTAGTCCTTCTGGACAGAAGCCTTTCTGTTCCACTTGTACTGTCAAGGTATATAGAACTCCTGACTGCCATAAACTACCACTAAAACTTCAGTTTTAATCTTGTTTATCTCTCAAGAAGAAGGAAACCCTCTGTAGAATCTCAGTCCCTGAAGTACAACATTTCTTCTCCCTTTCCAATTACTACATTTGCTTGTCTCAGAAGTTATCTCAGGCTTAATTAAGTTTTAATTATTTTCATAGTAGGATGTTCACTGAGAAAGTGAACAATAATGTTTCTATATCTAGAGATTTCTATTTCTCCAGACCTGTCTTCTCCTTCCAAAAATTCCAAGTTAGTATGGGGACTACCTTCTGACACATAAAAAAGTCACTTCCTTTTTTCTTTCTCTCTTTTTCTTTTCTTTTTCTTTCTTTTCTTCCTGCCTGTTCTGGGGCTTGAACTCAGGGCCTGGGCATGGTCCCTAAGGGTTTATTTATTAATTTTTTTTTCCTTCAGGCTAGTGTTTACCACTTGAGCCTTAGCCTTAGCTCCACTTCTGGCTCTTTTGGTGCTTGATTGGAGACAAGAATCTCATATACTTTCTTTCCCTGGCTGGCTTCACACCATGATTCGCAGATCTCAGTCTCCTGAGCAGCTATGATTACAAGTGTGAGCAACTGGAGCCTGACTCCTTTACTTTCTTAATTCAGAAATATAATAAGTGTTGGTCATCACTGGGGATTATACTTTTTGAGGAAGACTCAACCATGGACTTGCGCAGGCTGTGATTCGCCTTGTTCTACCTATATACATTAACAGTTCAGGGTCCTTGATATATATAGCTGTTTTAGTTCTTGTATAAACAGCAACAACAACAACAACAACAAAAAGAGATTTAAAACTGGATCCAGGATTCAGTTGCTCACACCTGTAATCCTAGCTACTCAGGAGGCTGAGTTCTGAGGATCATGTCCATGAGACTGCTATCTCCAAATAATTGCCAAAGAGCTGGAAGTGGAGCTGTGGCTCAAGTGGTAGATTGCTATTTTTAAGCCTTGGCCCTGAGTTCCAGTTCCAGAACTGGCACACACACACACACACACACACACACACACACACACACACAAAACAACAACAACATTAACAACAACAACAACAAATCAAGCTAGTTGGATCCACTCCTCCCCTTCGAAAGACTTAATCTGTCATGAAATTCAAAGACAATTCTTCCATTTACCCATATACAAGTGTAATCCTTCTTTATTCTACTGATGAGTTCCTTTCTACTCTCTGACTCAAAAGAACATACATAAATATGGGCACAGGATTGAGAGTGAGAATCACATCAGTTTTGCAGAAGTGATGGTAGCACTGGGTACTAGGTTGGTTCCTGGTCACTGCCCTTCCCACTGTTTCCTGAGTTTTTGTGTGCCTGGCATGCAAAAGAGGCTGCGAATATTTGTGCCATAAACAAAAGAATACCCATTTCCTGATAATGAATGACAAAATTAAAGAGAGAATAAGTTGTATATAATTGAAAACTAGAAATAAATATTACACAATTTTTTTTTTTTTGCCAGTCATGGGGCTTGAACTCTGGGCTGTCCCTGAGCTTGTCAGCTCAAGGCAAGCACTCTACCACTTGAGTCACAGCACTACTGTGGTTTTCTGGTGGTTAATTGGAAATAAGAGTCTCCTTTCCTGCCCTGTCTGGCCACCAGCGCCCAGCCTGATTGCTAGAACCTTACATTTTAACAGATACCTTATTGTGTGGTTCTAATTTAGGAAAATAAGGACAGAGTTCCCTTAAACAAAGAGAATCAGATTATTTTGTGGCCCTTTGATGATAAGCAGATAGCATCTTGGAGAAGGGCATAAAAAAAGGATATCTAGAAATAAGCCACCAACTTTTTTCAAGCATAGTTTATTTTTTTTTCATTTTGGAAAAAGTATGTATTCCTCCCCTGTGTACTGCCCCCCCCCACTTTTGCCAGTCTTGAACTCATACCTTGAGTACTGTTCATGAGCTTAGTTTGAGCCCCACCTCCAATTCCAGTTTTCTGGTGGTTAACTGGAGATAAGAGTCTCACAGATGTTCCTGCCCAGGCTGGCTTTCTCAGATCTCAGCCTCTTGAGTAGCTAGGATTACAGGTGTGAGCCACCAGTGCCCCACTGAATTCCCCCTTTTTTCAACAATAGAAAGTATAGAAATAGGGCTGGGAAGATGGCTCAGTGGTAGAGCACTTGCCTTGCATGCCTGAGGCCCTGGGTTCGATTCCTCAGCACCACATAAGCCAAAATGAAAATAGAGCACTAGCCTTGAGCTGAAGAGCTCAGGGACAGCACCCATGCCCAGAGTTCAGGCCCCACGACCGGACCCAAAAAAAAAAAAAACCAAACAAATGAAAATATAGAAAGATATAAAGTGAAGTTTGATCTACTATGTTTTATTAACTTGCCTAGTTATTCTCAAATTTCATAGTTTCCCAGATATTTCACCAGAGATTCTTCATAAATATAATATCAAATTATAGGTATTTCATTGCATTTGAATCCCATTACTATAGCACTGATTCAAGTTACATATTATGTCATTCCATACAAATACATTTAAACTCATCATTGCTTAACAAATCCCATAAAATCCCTTTCTATATGTGGATATTTACAGATATTTCAAATAATTAAAAATGGATTTCTTGTGTTAATATTTAAGATTTTGTATTTAGGGAATAATGACCTATTTTTGCTATTGTAACTGTGAAAGAGTAAGTTTATCTGTAGGATCAGATTTAAGAAGAGATCCCTAGGCAAAAAGAAGTAGGGGCACTTGTAATTCTGACAAAATTGACCAAATTGTTTTCATGCTCCCTGCTACTGAGTGTCATAACATAAAACAAGATTCACAAATACAGAATTAAAATCACTTCTTGAGGGTAGGCAACAGTAGAATGAGATCTTTCACTCCGGTTTGCTAAGATGTCTGTGTCAGCTCAGGACTATAGGTCACCAGATCCTTATCTGAGTAAACTCTTAAATACTTTGACTCTATTTTATTTTACACAAAGTATACCAGTACTAAGAGTTCTTTCAAACTTAACAAGAATAAATTTAAGGAGACAAACATGCTCTCCATGTCTTTCTCTTCCACTGAGCATACAAATCTTTACCCAGATGGCCATCTCTGTGAATTAGTACAACTGGGCTGAAGATGGCGTAACCAAGAGTCAGAAATTCTCGAGTATTTAACATGAAGTTATTCTTTAGGGAAAAACTCAAAAAGACAGATAAAAGACAATCTATCCAATAAAAGAAAAGAAAACAGAACATCAGGAGGAGAACACTTTCAGCAGCTTTCATCTCAGGGGGAGTTTTGTAGAGAAACTTGGAATTGTGAAGGTAGAGAACACGCTGGTGGTGCTTGTAGAGAAGAAATACCATGTAGCCGCTGGCTGCACCCATGATACCCTGAAACACAGCATCTCTCAAGACCATGAAAGTAAGAAAGATCCATCTCCTTATTAAGTTGTCGGGTAGAAAATAGCAACTATAATAAGTATTGTTAGGTTGTGATATGTTCAGACTTTTACTTGTGACAGAATAGAGCAAGTTAATACATACTAAGGAATTGAGTATCCAAAAGAAGAAAATAAATGGGAAGATGTGCCATGCAGACCTTGGCTTGAACCTTTTCCACTTGGAGGCATTAGGACTGACCGAGATGGCTTGAATCACTGTGAGGTGACTGCTGGTACAGACAGAAAGGCCATGGGCCATTCTTTCCAGGAAAGCAATCATCTTACAGCCTATGTCATCTAGGAAATTTTGCATACCAAAAGCTGCTATTGTTTTTGGCATCCCTTTTGAAAGAAGTGTTATGATATTTGCCAAAGCCAAATGGATGAGAATAGGGTATATATATTTTTTCTCAGTGGGTTTTTGGAAACACCACATGTAATTCACAGAAACAAGAATGTTCCCCACAATGCCAAATGCAGTTTCAAAGAGGAAAATTATCCCCTTAATGGATTTCAAAACCATTTCTTACTTAATAGGTAGACAATCTTAGATCCAACAGGTACCTTTTTGAAAACCTCTATTTCCTTTTCTGTGACACTTTTCGTCACTTTTTTAAATTAAGGCACTTGACAATTCACACTTAAAAATAAAAATTTCCATTGCAATGTTTTTGAGCTCTATACTAGCAAAATCAACCTACTTATTCACTTTGTTATATAATTCAATCTCAACATGGCAGGCCTAAACCAAAAAGTCCATCACCCAGAATTTTCTGTTTGTCATTCCATTTCATCATATTGTTATCATTCCAACAAAGCCTTGAGCTCAGGCTTAAAGTCTCTGCCCTTCTCATACCTCATGTAGAGACATTTGTGAAATCTTCTTGCATCAAATTCTTTAACATCTCTTAAAGCTAACCATAGTTTAATTTTCATACTACCTCTTATTTTGTTTACCTCTTATCTTGATCAGTATAAGAATGTTCGTGTTTGTATTTGGCTTGAAAGTTTTAAATCTTTGGTACCTATACCTTAATATTTCTGTATTTCTTACTTATAACTATATGTGTGATTGAACTGCTCATAAATATCTTGTAGTTACCCGGTAGTTTCTCAGTGTCAAGTCAAAATGTAGAGCCTTCCCAGATATGATGTAGCAAGATATTCAGGAAGATGTCTCTAGTCTGAAAAAAAATCAGATATCCTAGTTTGTTCTCAGGGATTGTGTCTTAAGAGAAGAACCCTTGAATGTCCCTTTGGAAGGACGTTAGGAGATACTGAATTCCCACTGAATGACTTTAGGGCTCTAAGGAAAGCCTGGATCACCTTTGGATTAACTGATGTTTATCAAGGTGGGCTTGGGGAAAATGATTAAGTGTGTGTTATGTTCTGTCATGTGATGACTGTACACTGTGAATTGTGAATTCAGAGTGTTAGCTGTATGCAGTGATGTAGGTTGAACATCATTGATAAAACAAGGGATCACACATAATGGCATTTTGCAGATGCTATATGGCTTTGGGAGGAGCATTGTTTCATTTATTTTGCAGCCTGTTTTACTAGGTCCTTTCCTCCAACCTGATTGTTAATCATACTACTTTGATCTTTCTCAATCCAAGCTGATTTTCAGAATTCAGACTTGGACAGAATTTTACTATTTCATATCTAAGAACTCAAATTTCCTTCCTTCCTTCCTTATCATCATCATCATCATCATCATCATCATCATCATCATCGTCGTCATCATCATACTTATTACCATCATCAAACTAAGGGGCAAAAATAAAATGAATCATGATGCTTGGCCCAATCTATGGGGTTTGCTTATGTTTTGTATACTTGATATGTTTTCTGTTAGCTTTCACTCTTTACTAAATGATACAGGATTTTTTTTATCCTGTTAAGGTTTCAGATAGTATTAAGTGGATATACCAAGGCTTGCTCTCAGGTTTGGGTCCAGATAGTATTATGACTCTGTGAATATTAGTATTAGTATTGCCTTCTAACCGCTGACAAATAGGGTAATTTTCATCTATACTAATGTATGCAGTAGGCATAATGAATATGTTACAAGCATTAATGTTACAAGCATCAGTATCCCCTAATAATGTTTATTATATATTTAGTCAGGGATTTGAATCTCTTGAAAATGACTGCAGTCAATACTTAACCAATGTTTGAATGGACTTATCAAATATTTTTCTGTTTGTATTTTTCTTTTTGTCTAGACTGGCCCATTTTTTTCCTGCCCTGCCCTATTGCCAGACTCGAAAGCTCTGAGTCATATTTTGAACCCAATTCTGAGAAATCTAATAAGTGACTTATTTTTCTTTGTGATAGAAGTAAAAAATGTCAGAGAATAGAGAGTGACTGATCTATATTGTCTCAGCAAATGTTACTTCAAAAGCATTTTGCAGCCTGTAGCCGGTGGCTCATGCCTGTAATCCTAGTTACTCAGGAGGTTGAGATCTGAGGATTGTGGTTCAAAGCCAGTCTGGACAGGAGAGTCTGTGAGACTCTTATCTCCAATAAACCAGCAGAAAATCGGAAGTGGTGCTATGGCTCAAGTGCTAGAGTACTAGCCTTGAGCTGAAGAGCTCAGGGACAACGCCCAGGCCCTGAGTTCAGGCCCCATGACTGACAAAAACAAACAATAAAAGCATTTTGCATTCAGCAAGATGGATACTACCCCATCTTGCTGAGGTAGGCACATGCATCCACAAGGTCCAGTGTTCTCACACAGAAAATGTAAGATTATTTCTCCTTGCCTCATAGTAATAAGATACAATTGAAATGATTTAGTTTACAATACTTCATGGACTGGCACTTTCATAGAAGGAATTATCAAAAGAGCAACTATAAAATTCAGTCTTACTAGTGTTAAAAGTCCTTCCATTAAGTAAAAATATAACAAATAAGAATATAATAAGTGAAGTTGACTTATAAGTACGGTGTCATATTGTGTGTTGGGATAGGGAGATTTTTAAGGATGAATACTAAATGAAAACCTTCAAATTCATCCTATGGTGCACTCAGAAAATAGCAACACAATGTAAGAGACAATATTGGTCCATATTTGAAATGTAAAAATGCTTCAAAAATGACCTGTACAAATATTATCAATATCAATGATGCTGATAGGGTAAAAATATGAAGGTGAAAGTGGAAGCTGGAAAAAATGGCACTTTTGTCTTGGACTTTTATTTGCCTGTGTTTGTTTCTGAGATAGTTTCTCTGTGTAGCCCAGCTTGACCTCCAATATGCAATCAGGAGGCTGAGGCTCTTGATATTACTAATATGTACCACCATGTCTATCTGGAAGACAGAATTTTTGAAAGAACACTTAAAAAATTCCGTGTCTTACTAATTCCTTTTGAAAAGCAAGGAGGTCACTTCATGCAAAGCTCTGTGAGTTGTCAGATGCTGAGCCTCAAAAGGTGCCTACACATTTCTACAGAATGATTTCCTAGACTAGTTGCTTCCATCTATCTGTATGGCCTCAAATATTCTGTGTAAAGTTTAAGAGAAGAGGGAAAACCCTAAAGATCTTAGACTCTTTCATCTATCTACTACTCCCTGGCTAAATCAAAGAGAGATCTATGCTTTTGCTAAAAATCTACATAGCATATACTAACCAAGTAATTGTGTGGTCTACTCACCTTGATATAGCTGTGGTGCAAAGGAGCTCGGGTTATTTCTTCTGGTAAGGGAAGTTTCTCAGGACTTATTTATACCTTTAGGATTTGTAGAGTTCTTCAATACTATCAAGTATCACCAACATTTCAGTTTTAATTGCTGTCATCCTGTCAGGGAGAAGGAAATCCTCTGCAGAACCTCTGTCCCTGGAGCCTTTCCCCTTTCACAATTAGTACATTAGTTTGACTCAGAAGTTATCTTAGGCTTAATTAGGAGTTACATATTTCAATGGGAGATATGTGAAATGAAAAAGTGAACAACAAATTAGGCATCTGTATCTAGAGATACACCTTTCTCCTGGACATTTTTCACCCTCCAGAGTTCCAAGCTGTGATGGGACCATCTTTCAAGACATAAAATAATCCTCCCCTCCACCTCCTTCTCTCCTCTCTCCTTTGCCCTTCCCATCCCCATTCCTTTTCTTTCTTTCTTCCTACCTTTCTTCTTCTTTTTTTTCTTTTTTGGTGATACTGGGGTTTGAATTTATTTATTAGGGAGGTGTGATAGCATTTGAACCAGACCATTTATTGCTTTAGTTATTTATTGTTTAGGGATAGATTTTGTCTTTTTTGCCCAGGGCTAGCTTCAGATGCTGATTCATATCTATGAATTCTGTGTGGCTAAGATTATAGGTATCTACTACCACTCTTAGCCACCATTTCCCTTTCTTTTTTTTTTTTTTTTTGGGTCCAGTCGTGGGGCCTGGACTCTGGGCCTGGGCGCTGTCCCTCAGCTCTTCAGCTCAAGGCTAGCGCTCTACCACTTGAGCCACAGTGCCACTTCTGGCTTTTTTCTTTTTGCTTATGTGGTGCTGAGGAATTGAACCCAGGGCCTCAGGCATGCAAGTCAAGTGCTCTACCACTGAGCCACCTTCCCAACCCCAGACCATTTCCCTTTCTGGGCAGGAAAACTTTGAAACTAAGTTACCTAGAATACTTTGATCTTTAAGCAAGCCACAGTGACATGAACAAAAGAAACTCATTAATGTCCTAGGGTATGACATAATAATAGTAACTGCAAGTCTATATGGACATGGTAAAATCAAACAAAAAGAACAGCCGTTTACTATTGTTTGACAGGAAAACCACCGAAGTATATCCATGACCATTAGGGAAATATAGAAGAGCTGTTTGTCAAAACACAGTGTCAATTCCTCTGCATCAGTTTTTATTTGATTGATTGATTGATTTTTGCCAGTCCAGGGGCTTGGACTCAGGGCCTGGACACTGTCTCTGAGTTTCTTTTGGTCCAGGCTAGCACTCTACCACTTGAGCCACAGAGCCACTTCTGGATTTTCTGTTTATGTGGTACTGAGGAATTGAACCCAGGGTTTCATGCATGGTAGGCAAACACTCTATCACTAAGCCACATCCCCAGCCTCCATATCTGTTAATATTTTGTACCATAAAATCAGGAAAGTGGTGACATATTGTTAAAAGCCATTTGATCAAACACCTAATTACAGAGCTACTCAACTCAAATAAATAATCTGGTTCCAATTTATAAAAAAATTAACAAATTCTTCACCAGGACCTTCCTAGTAAGCAGGAAGTCCTGAGTTCAAACCTCAGTATTGGCAATGAATGTGTGTGTGCATATGGTGTGAAAATCTCACAAATTAGCAAAAATGACAACTATCATTACTGTCTTTCTACTAGAAAGCTGGGAGATAAATGGGTTTTCTTATTCTTTTTTTTTTGGTATTCAGGTAAGGGGTAGGTTTATTCAGTAGACCTGCTGGGACCAGGCAAGGTTGGCGCTCCACGTGTCTGGGAAAGAGGAAAGAGAGAGGAAAGAGCTAGAGCAGAGAGAGAGCAGAGAGAGCTA